GGTCGAGGTTCAGCTTTCAATTTCACAGCGGCCATCGAAAAACTGAAGGCTTGCATTAATTGTTCTGCGCCACATGGCTGTCCTTGCCTTAAAAAAAAAAAAAAAAAAAAAAAAAAAAAAAAAAAAAAAAAAAAAAAAAAAAAAACCTCACTAGGAAGCTATTCAAACTAATACTTGAATACTACTCTTGAAAGGTTTTAATGATATATATTTTCACTACCCCATGCAATCTTCGCGGACTTTTCGATTTGAAAACATTGTAAACTTAATTAATATATATATTTTTGTTATTGGAATTTCGCGCATTTATTTGTTTGTTGCACTCACTCCCTTACTTTAAAATGTAATATTGCTGAATGAAATAGCTGCATCGTCTACTGTCAGTAACTCGTCTACAAAATCAGTATTCGCTGGCATGATTACTGTCTGGGGAGTCACGCGCATATTAGCTGTATATTCCGAGGTTGAGGTAAAAAACTGCGTCCATCGAGTTGTGGGGCGACAGTCTTGGGGTTGTTTTTATGGGAACAAAATCAGCCGCCATGTAAAAAAATTTTCCCTTTCTATTAGCACATTAATGTACTGCAATGATAGCTCAAAAACGTTTTTCCTCAACTTCCGAAATGGGTAAACTCACTGACAAAAATAACTTACTCTTAAACCATTTATTCTGAAAATAAGTAATTTTTTTKAATGTGGAAAATATTTGATTTGTTCAATTTTATGTGTGAGAGAGAAAAAAGAGCAATTGAATCCGAAAACTGAGCTGGATACATTATTTCAAGAAATTGAATTTCAGTCTCAAAACATGGTTTAAGTTAAAGTTGATCTTGTCAAAGTTAGACTAACTTAGTGAAACCCAATTAGAAGCAGTAAATTGTATTCTAAATCTATCAAAAAAGCTTTTTTGGGGGCTTTTAAATCTAATGTCGATAATTACACTTGGAGCATTTACTGAGCAAAATCTTTCGTTGGGCTTTTAAATCATTTGGAGCTATAATTTCACTTGAAGTATGTACTGTATAATATAAGAAGAATATTAATAAAAGCGAAATTGGAAGGGAAATTGTATTCTAGAACTACCAAAAAAATTTTGTTGAGTTTTTAAATCTAATCTCTATAATTTCGCTTGAAGCATGTACGTACTGTGTTAAGCCCCGTTTACACTGGCGATTTTTGCGGCGATTTTTGCTGCGATATTTGTGGCAATTTTCGGAAATATGAAATCTTTTGTCTCATCCTTCAAAAGAGACATTCGTCTAGGAAAATCTTGGTATCCTGAAAAAAACTTTACAATTAAATTCTTTACTATTATTAATTATGGACAAAATCGCAAAAAAATCGCAGCAAAAATCGCTAGTGTAAACGGGGCTTAATGCAAGAAGAATATTAACAAAATTGCACATTAATTAGTAAAAGCCCTCTAGATATGAAGAGGATAGATTCAGTACGAAAGAGAAATGTCTAAAGACGTTTATAGTTTACCTTATAGTTTTCTTCAGTTATCCTACCGCTTAGTGCTTTTCTAAAATATCAGTCATTGACACTAGCTTAGTGATACTCGTCTCATTGTTCACATTTAACGTTATTACATTTGTTTCATTTGGATGAAAGCCGAATATCAGCGTGCTATAATGTGTTTTTTCTTCTAATTTCCTTGAGCAGCAAAAAAATATAACAAATGAAAAATACGCCAAATTAAAAGTACTTACCGTGTCGGGAAACCAGATTARGAGACAATTGCGACCCCAGTTGTGTTTCAAAATTGTCTTTTACTTTCAACTGGATGCCCACGGATATAAGTGCGCCTACGATCCACCTGTCCCTAACGCTGTTGTAATGAAAAACAATCCTTGATACGTACAGTAAATTTTGCTCCTTCATTATATTAAAAAACCAAGATCAAATCACTTAAAAACTTGCCAGCTTTAATTTGATTTTTTTCATGACGGAAGATAACGTTTGATGGAAACAAAAAACAAAAAAACCCGGCTTTAAAAACATTTTCAGTCATTGGTCAAATAATGTAATATATTTGAGGGTGAATAATCTTTCCCCATGGTTATTTTTAGTGGTATTATTTTATTTCAAATCCGGCTTTTCCTTGTTTGTTTTTTTATTCGTCTTCAGTTTAATTGATATTTTGGAAAGCTTTATTATTCTTCACGATTGGTGCTCAACGCTGTTGCTTTAATTTAATATTCGTCTAGGTTGGACGTTATTTGTTGTTGACTCGATCTCTTTAAAAGATAGGGGCTGGCTTCAGTGGCGGATCCAGGGAAGGGGTGCAGGGATGCGCACCCCTCCCTGGTTCAACTCTGTGCCCCTACTTCGAAGATAACCAATGCAAAGTAATGTTTCAAGTTCCCTTTGATTCTAAGGGGTGCACCCCTCCCTGGGTCAACTTTGTGCGCTGCACCCCTCCATGAACAAAATCCTGGATCCGCCCATGGCCTTCCATCCATCCTTTCTTTAAAATTACTCCAGTTATCTGAAATAGTGACGTAGAAATGACGTCACTGAGGTGTCTTGAAGCCTGTGAAAATTGACCAGCGAATAAAAATAAAAACATAAAAMTCATTTATTATTATTATTATTTTTTTCATTTGGTTACCTCGAAATCCAAAAATTCAAGAGGAAAAAGTGAAACCTCAATTTTGACAATTTTCTTGATTCTGATTGGCTAACATTTTCTCTCTGATCAGGGTCCGGTTGTACGAAGGGTGAATAGCGCTATCCGATGGATAAATCCTTATCCAGTGGATAAATCAATGCTGTTATCCAAAAAATCTATCCACTGGATAAGATTTATCCGTCGGATAGCGCTATCCACCCTTCGTACAACCGAACCCAGCTGGATAGCATCACCACAGGAATCCCAGTTAACAATACCAGCGTTAACCACAATGCATTGCCATGACATTCAAGATGGCGGAAGCCATGAGGAACTGAAAACATAAAAAACTTTCACAAAAATCTCGTCTAAAAATCGAATTCAGCCGACCTTAGGTAAAAATATACCGAAAGATGGATAACATATCATTGATACACAAAGTTTATTTTTTATATCTTTATCTTTTCACAGGTTTATGAGTGATTGTTGATATTTTGCAAAGCAAAGCATATTTTTCATAGTCCTCCTTTTAGATACAAAGCTTCGTTAATTGACAGCAGAAAAATATTGAAAAACCTGGAACGGTTTGTGGAGTGAGAAACATTTTTTTGTTCAAGGTATGTATATATATTTTTGGTTTACAACACTTTTAATCCATTCGAAAAAATAAGTTTAAAATTTACATATATACCCGGAGTAGTCAATCGATAAAAATCGATATCGATTTTGCCGATCGATAAATCGATAACAATCGATACCGCTGATTTGATTGATATCGATTGTATCGATCAATYGTTAAAAATCGAAYTCACACTAAATTTTTKTATCGATTTTTATCGATTGATTGATTATATACATATCGATTTTTTTCGATTTATGTCTTGAACAATTTCTATCGATGATCGTACGAGGGCCGTGTGGCTACGGATTTACACCACCGGAAATTACTCTTTCGTAACCATAGCTTGACACAAACTAGGAGTTTGTTATAGTGATCAGTGAACAGACAGCAAAAGTACTTGGATAATTAGCTGCCTGATCTACATATWATTACTTGTGAATTAATAGTTATAAAATCTATTGCACTATCATCGATATTTTCGAATACTTTCCGTGAAATAAAGCTGATTATATGATTGTACTCATTGGATCGAATTAAAGCTGTCAAATCTTGATCGATCTATTAAATCGATAAAAATCGAACTCACACCAATTTGTTTTATCGATTTTAAACGATTTCCCATAAAAATCGATACAAATCAGCTGATTTCTATCGATTTTTATCGATATCAATTTTTATCGATTGACTACTCCGGGATACATATAATATGCTTAGGAGATGAGAAGTGTAGAAGATTGAATAGAATGAAAGCTAATTGAAAATCTATGTCTAAAAAGTTGTGGATATTCTGCGATTTACTATTAAGAAAAACCTTTCTGTTTTAATATACCTGGCTCAGATTATTGTTAGCTATAAATACTGTGTACAACCTGATGATGGGCCCACGTGTCCCTGAGCTTTGTGATCTAAATTTCCAGGAGATTCCCATTAACAACCCATATTTCCAATAGACCCCATTCAGCTTGGGCGTAATGCCAGACTTGTAATAATGTCATTCCCTTGAGTATTATTTCTTAGTTTATCAGTTGCACATGAGAAGACACATTCACAGGGCTGTCAACCCCCGAGATATTCAAATCTGGAGAATTGATAGGGGAGGGACATGACATCACAGCACGTCAAAAAGCGCGCGAAAAGACGTCTTTCGCTTTGTAACATTTGATGTGATTGGTTTCTTTCTGACCAATCAGATTATCACTTACATTACAATGGCCTGCTTGCAAGAACAGCCATGAGGAACGTTTTGATTTTGTTAGCGATGTAAAATAACATAAACAACATAAAATAATTGGAATTTTATGGTTGTGAAACTCGGGTCTCACAAGAAATGTTCAGCTTCAGGGATTATCCGGAAGATTTGAGACTCTTATCTGGAGACCAGGAGATACGCTCCATAATCTGGAGACTCCTGGTTTATCCGGGAGAGTTGACAGCCCTGCATTCATGAATATGGTTACAACTCAAATAATTTTATTCTCAAGAGAATGACGTGTGGTCTGTAATGGAAACGTTTGCCTACAGACCCAGTTCAGCTGGGGTGTAATGCCAGACTAATTGTCATTCCCTTGAGTATTATTTCTTACTTTAATGGATGTTTGCAAGAGAAGACACATGAGTATGGATACAGCTCAGTCAAATAATAATTTTATTCTCAAGAGAATGATATGTGGTCTGAAATGGAAATGCCATTTGTCTATATTGTTACACCAGCCAACATAGCCATCATGTCTTTTGTCATTTACTGTGATATTCTGCAAACTTGGTAGTTGCAAGCTGTACACTGAAATTTGATTTTTTGCTGCCATCAATGAAAAATAATCAGTCGGTACCTTATATATTTTTGACTGGTGGCAGTGAAAAACCTATTTCGTCTCAACTAGCTGTTGGAATGTTAAAGTTTGCAGATTATCCAAAACTGAAATAAACCGAAGCTGAAAAGGTCTATTCACTTTAGGTCTTTTAGCTACAACTGTGATTCACAATTATTGGTTGGAGAAAGAGCTGCATTTTGTAGCACAATAACTGCTATCTTATGGAGGTGAAGCAGGGTCAACCAACTAGCAATGAGCTTCTAAACCTTGCAAAGGAAATAGGGAAAAAATGGAAATGTTTAGGTCGAGCGCTTCACATTGCAGAAGAAGATTTAGAGGCAGTTGAAGAAGAGGAAAAGAAGCTTTATGACAGGAGTTATCAAATGCTAGTAAACTGGAAACAGAGTCATGGCTTGAACGCTACATATAAAAAGTTAGATCAAGGATTACAACATTGTATTGTACACCGTAAGGATCTTGCTGAGAAGTATTGCTATAAAGAACAGCCAATCCAACCTCACCTCCCAGTTGAGGAAAGCGAGAAAACAGCCATTTAAAACTGGCCTTTGAACTGCTTTCTAGAGTTCAAGCATAGTTTTTTATAGTCACAAAGTTTCTCCATACATACCAATGATTGTGTGTGAATGAAGAGTGCCGATGCCAATCATTGTAGAAAACAGGAAGTGTATAGTTTTCATGATAGAGTCTCTCAATCTCATTGCCTTTGAGTCTTGTAACTCATTTGAGCTTGAGGACTAATTGCTAAATATAAGATAGAGATATTTAAGTCTATAAAATAGTAAAGAATAGTAAAATAATGTGATGGGGCTACCTGTGGTAAACCTATAAATAGGATTATAAATAAGATAAGCTTAAGATAATTAAATTTTAGTCAAACCATAACACCATGGACTGTATGACACAAAGCATGATGGGCTACAAACTGCAAAGCATCATGGGATACATAGTGCAAAGCATCATGGGATACATAGTGCAAAGCATCATGGGATACATAGTGCAAAGCATCATGGAACATAGCGCAAAGCATCATGGGCTACATAACGCAATGTATTATGGTACATATAACGCATGACATAGAATACATAGCGTATGGAATGGCAGAGTAGAGCATCATGGGACATAGCGCAAAGCATCACGGGCTACATAACGCAATGTATTATGGTACATATAACGCATGACATTGGATACATAACGTAAAGCATCATAGTCTATATAGTGCAAAGCATCATGGTCTGTATGGTGCAAAGCATCATAGGCTACACAAAGCAATAAGTTATAGTATGTATAGCACAAAGCATCATGATCTACGTAACGCAAGGCATGATGGGTTATGTAACGCAAAGCATGATGGGTTACGTAAAGCAAGGCATGATGGGCTTCCTAGCAAAAAAGATTATTAAGACAATACATCGCACAAGTTATATTTTGAATCAAAGTAAGAAAGGAAGTCTATTAAAAGTGACAAATTCTATATTGAACAAGTAATATTTTGAATTATAAGAAAGGAAGTCTAAAGTGACAAGGCCGTGCATGGCTACCGCTCTTCAGATATTGGTCCTTGATTGGTATTCTAAACGTACATAATTATGCAAATTTACAAAAGGAATTATCAAAGCTTAAAACTCTATGTTGAAGAAGTAATATTTTAAATCAAAGTAAGAAAGGAAGTCTAAAGTGGCGAGACCATGCATGGCTACCGTTCTTCAAATATTTGTCCTTATTGATATTTCAGACGTTTTTATGTAGAAAGTTTCTATGGTTTTGTACACCAATATGGCTGCCTTGTCACGTGAGTAAAAACGCTCTATGCACGTGCAGTATGTCAGCGGATGCTTTGAAATGGCTTCTCTTCATTCTTGTACGATTCCATCAATCAAAAAGTCCTAACAGAGACGGTCTGCGAAGATTTTTTTACTTTTTTATGTAAAGGTTTTTGTAAATTATGTTGATTGCTTCATTTTAACCCATGATCATAGGCCATGGGCAAGAAAGCTTTAATAGTTGTAGATAAGTTTATTGATATGATAAAACACAAGGAAATTCAAGATATGTGAAACAAGTTCTGAAAATTACTTCTTGAAAATAAAAATAGTAGTTGTGCCATTCTTTCGCGGATGACTTGGTATGACAAAACATCTTTTGCACTTGAGCTGGAGTGCCTGTTTTTCCGCATTGTCGCACTAATAAATAACTTCATAAAGTACTTCCTTGCAATTGCTTGCTCGCGCTCTGTACAAAAAGTCGTGTTATATTCCAAAACTGTTGGAGAAAATTGAGTTGCAAAAGTCAAGGACTGTTACAAGAAAATTCGATCTAAGGTAAGAACTCTTCAACGTAATGATGATACCATATGATACTCATCACAATCTAAGTCTAATGGATTTTATGATTGAAATTGATTTTCAGAGTATTACAGTTTTAAATGCGAGTGGATGATGGCGAAGCAAGAAGGTATGTATTTCACGAATAAAACCTTTTTTCGTACTCTGTTCAGTAATAAATAATAATAATAATAATAATAATAAAGATGATGATGATGATGATGATGATAATAATAACAATAATAATAAATAGAGGATATTACATTGGCGCGCGGAGATGCGAAATTTATCTTTGAGTGTTGAAAAGATCTCTCACGAGTGAGCACAGCGAACGATTGAGAGACATAGGTTTCAACACGAGAAGATAAATTTCGTATCTCCAAGCGCCCATGTAATATCCTGTTTATTATATAATTATCCATAAAATCAACTTAATAAGCTTTTTATTAATATTAAAAAAAAATATTTATAAACAAATAGCTTAATACACAGATTGAACGATATTTTCACATGTGAAATAACATGTTATTTTCACATGTGAAAATATCAGTTTTCGAAAAGGAGAAATATAATCGGGTATTTTATGTATCTTTTACTGAAAAAAGAGTACTTCAGCACTCAGGAGCCGGGTAGAATCTCGGACTGAAGGCTAATGTATACCAGCAAAAGAGCTGTAATATTCTTATTTTGCTGTTCAATAAAGGAATAATAATAATGATAATAATTTAATACTCATATGGCGCAATTTTTTGCATGTGAATTTGATCAAATGCGCCTATGTCATAATAATATAAAGCACACAGGAAGTGACGTAATACCAAAGAAGTCCAGTTTATATCGACACTAGAGAAAAGCGTTTGCGCATGCATGCATTTCAGCACGTTTTCTAAGAATTTTGAAGAGTTTGAGTGAGAAAATAAATGTTTGTTTTCTCCAAGTATACAAAAAGTTCAAGAGTATACTTTTGTCAGACCAAGATACTGTATTAACAAACACAATATGAAAGAATTAGCCTTAAGTTGCAAGCATGGACACTAAGTTTTGGTATTTTGTGAAGTCAATTTACATATTTTTGACTATTTTGCTTACGGATTCAGAGGATGCGCAGACGTTTTTCACTCTTGTCGTTCATATATTCTTCACTATAACGTTRGTGATTACACAGGGTACCCTTCAGAGCTTCAATTTCCGAAAATAGAACGAGCACAAGAAATACCAGACTATCCCCCACACTCGTACCCAGGCTCTAGCACGGATCCGCCTGACCGTGAGAATAATGCAAGCACCAAAGAGCTTGAAAACGATTATACTGAGCAGGGCCCTAGCACGGACAAACTCGGCCGTGAGAATACTGCATATACAAAAGAGCCTGAGAAGAAGTCTACCGAGCCAGGCCCTAGCACGGACAAACTCGGCCGTGAGAATACCGCATACACAAAAGAGCCTGAGAATCAGTCTACTGAGCCAGGTAGATTTCATCCTCGTAACCAACCTGTTTACTATAGTAACAATGGTCCATATGGGAGCTCAGGCGCATGCGCAGGCCCATCAGGACGGCCTGATTACTATCCTAACCAGCCTGGTTCCACAAGAAATGGGGCTGTCGCAATTGTAAGTACTAGCCTGCTTTCACCAATCTTTAAAAGTGGGCGAGGGAAGGCAGGGGCGGATCCAGGGGAGGGGTGCAGGGGGTACACACCCCTCCATGGTTCCACTTTGTGCCCCTACTTCGAAGATAACCAATACTGTTTTTTACCTTTGATTCTAAGGGGTGCACCCCTCCCTGGGTTAACTTTGTGCGCAGCACTCCTCTCTGAACCAAATCCTGGATCCGCCCCTTGAAGGGTAGGTTACACTTTTTTAGGGGGAGGGTGTGGGGTATCTATCATGACGGAGAATGAAACTGTGTAGATTTATGCAAAATGTCAATTAATAAATTAGGAAATAAATTAATGGGATTCTGAATTGGCACTTTTCGTTACGCCTCCCGTGCTTTCCAAAAACGTAGCAAAAAAAATTGAAAATAATTAAACCGAGTGAAATGAGGTACGTTTTTGGGGGAGATAGGGATGAAAAGAAGAAAAAGGAAGAAGGAGGAAGAAAGAGGAGAAAGTAGGAAGGAGGAGGAAGAAGGARGAAGAAGGAGGAAGAAGGAGGAAGAAGGAGGAAGAAGGAGGAAGAGGGAGGAAGAAGGAGGAAGAAGGAGGGAGAAGGAGGAAGAGGGAGGAAGAAGGAGGAAGAAGGAGGAGGAGGAAGGAGGAAGAAGTAGGAAGAAGGAAGAAGAAAGAGGGACGTACGACTTTAAAATTTAGGGAAAAGGGGTCCCGAAAAATTAAAGCAAGATTACCAATTATGGGCCTTTTTTACGCGGTAGCAGTGTTGGTTTGATATCACCACGCGTGGCCTCGCATTTGAGTGTTCGAGAATAAATTTAAGCTGGTTAAACAAAGTTTTTTTTAATTCTCATGAGAATAAAACATGGCCGCGTGTGATAAAGGTCCATAATATAGGCCTTTTTGCAATAAACAGTCACCTGCTGATATATGACTTTGATAACGAATCAATTCAGCTCAAGGTCCCTTGGGGAAGGCTCTGCTGGACGGCAAACAAACTTGAAACTGCTTCATATCTTGAAATCGAAAGTATCTTATAAGGGGAAAAAAGTATTTTTCAAAAGGTTTTGGAAACGACATAAGTAATCCAGCAAAATATCTTTAAATAAATGAAGTCCAATTTTTTTTGCCATCCAGTAACAATCATGACGATTCTCCCACGCCTGCGTTTCTTGGCGGTCTGCGGTGTACAGTGGTGCGAGAACTTGAAGGCGGAGTGAAAAGAGGAGCAGACCGCTGACCAACACAGGCTACTGAGCCACTGGTTTAAGTGCTACCCTTATCTTGTAGCCTCTGCCATGCAGTACTACATTCTACCAACCGCCATCAGATCACTCATGCTTAAGCTGGTGTGTGCTGTTTGGCTGTGCTTGGATTGCTTGCTGTTGGCCTTGTGCAATTGCTGCTGTTCTCGAATCGCAAAAAGTAAGATATAAAATTCAATTTTATTCGTCAACCTTAGAAAAAACAGGGCACAGCTAACTCACAGATTAAACCCTGAAACAACCTCTGGGCTGATCTAAGTCAGGGCATGGCTAACTCACAGATTAAACCCTGAAACAACCTCTGGGCTGATCTAAGTCAGAGCATGGCTAACTCACAGATTAAACCCTGAAACAACCTCTGGGCTGATCTAAGTCAGGGCATGGCTAACTCACAGATAGAACCCTGAAACAACCTCTGGGCTGATCCTCACAGATTGAACCCTGAGAGAACCTCTGGGCTGATCTAAGTCAGGGCACGGCTGGCACACATGACGGGCAGTGTTTGCCTTTATCGTAGTGTAGTAATGAGATTCATGGTATTCATCCAGTTGACACCGGAAATGACGTCAATTCGTAGCGCCTATTTACTTTCTTTTTAAGACTCGTCGGGACATCACAGAAGGAAACCTGATTTCAGCCGTAAAACACAGCAGGAATGCCCGCAGATGGGCGATATTAACCATGAGCTTGACTATTTCTGCTTATTTGCTTTTCATGTTGATAGTTCGGATTATGAATACACGGTAGCATAAAAGGACATTTGTTTTACTCTAGAAAAAAGCGCTAAGTGTACGTCTTTTTGTCGCCCGTTAAAAAAAATTAAATACTAAATAAATAAATAATTTCGAGTCCTAATACATTCGGCATATTTCGGAATAAGTGTTAATCATTAGAGAAGTCAAATTCTGATATTACTTAATACAGAAATTTTGTTAATGTTTTGTCATCACCACGCACAAGTAGTGAGAGTGATTTGATTTAAAAAAAAAACATTTGTGGTAGTTTTCTCTTGTTGCAACTAGTACTAACTAAAAAGTCATTTTTCACAAAGTGTCTTTACAAATAGCTATATACACCTATTCCAATAAACTTTGTCCTTTGGAGACCTGACATCTGAAATCTGAGGCCCGTAACATGCACGCTTCAAACTTTTATATTACACCTGTGTAACAGCCGAAAAACGTAGTTTCGTTTTAGTTGGACCTTCGATTTGGAATTRTGATTTTTCGTATCTTAGCCAGACAACATAAAAGTAAAATTAAAGCACAAAAATTCTCAGATTGCCCATCTCAGATCTCAGACCGACAACGCTTTTTTTAATACACATGTAGGTGTATGTCGAGCATTAAGAGTGCAAACAATAAATCCGTGAAACACTAATTACTAAATAGTACAAAATAGTGCTAATTAAACAATAGAAAACAATGGAATTTGTATGAAATTGTGCTATTTAGTATTACTAGAGTTTCACGGATTTACTGTGGTCACTCTGTCTTTAAATTTATGTGATACACTCGATTGAAGAATCGTTATGGCACCTGGGAAGTACGTTAATTAGATGCATGCTGTGACTGGCGACCCGTGGCATCATCCACTGTTTTTAATACGCGTTTGGCATTCTAAACCGACTGCATAGATGGCGCAAATGAATAGATTATAATATAATTATGTCATTTCCCATGTGCCATTTTGGTCTCAGCTCCTATGTTGTCCGGGGGAAGGAGGGTACTCTTGTCGGGTAGGGATGTGCCGCTGAGCCCTCTGAACCCTGTCCCTTTTCCAGAGTAAAAATCGCTGAAGTTCATACCCTGTTCCAGAGCAAGATTGCTGTTCCAGAGCGAACGTGATTTTATATACCCTGTTCCAGAGTAGAATCGCTGAATACCATACCCTGTTTGGCGGCACGT